AGAGCTTCTAAGTGAGTGAAGAAGCAAAGTCTTATAAGAGTGAGTTGTAGTTCTTGTTTTTGAGTGAGAGTACTCTTGTAATATTTGTTTGAGTTTCAATAAAAGTTGTTTGTGTGAGTGTTTTATTTCCAACACAAATGGGCTAAAATTGCTACGTTTTTGTCTGGGAGGACTGACAATGACGTCAAGAATTTTTGGAGCAGTAGGCAGAAGAGACTGGCTAGGATTTTGCAGAATTCGGGGACAACCTCTTCTTCTTCTTCCTCCTCCAGGTCGCTCAAAGTAAAAAAGGAAATCCATGGCTTTCATGATGTTCCTGTTATGGAGGTAAACCCACTCCAATCTCTTCAATTTCCAGTGGTTTCTGGGATTATCTTAATCACTTGTCATCTGCTAATTAATATTCCATACAATGCGTTTGATTAATCGACTCAGAGAAAACTCTGTAATCTTTATTAGGAAAATTCTGTTCACTCCAACAGAGAATCTTGAGTGGTTTAGATGGTAAAGATTAATCCTTTTTGTTATGGTTATGTTGTGTTTTTTGGGTTAAATTCAAGGCTCCGAAGTTGAGCTCATCAATGGAGGAATTATCATTCTCCCAGGGACGATCTTGCTCATCATAATACCATGACAACTCTCAGACGACTACTAAACTGAAGCAATTCCAAGAACTTGTGAATCCGAAGTTGTATACGGATGCAAACATGGCTCAGCTTGAGCTTATGTCTCGAAGGAAAATCCCATATGCCGAGGCTCAAGCTCAGGTCTTCTTCCCTCAGATCCTGCAGCCCCAACCGTACATCGCATTACCACTAGAAAGCCAGGACCTTTTGTCTAAATTCGAGGACCCTTAACTTTCTCAAGTGTTTGCTCCTATGGATGAACTTGACAGTGGGAATGCAAACGTGCAGATGACATTTCTTGAACCACTAGTGATAAGTGGTGGGTTTGGTTCAAAGGAAGAAACTGAGAACCCCACGACCCCAGATGCCTTCTTCGATGATTTCCCAGCTGACATGTTTGATCAAATGGAGCCGCTGCCTAGTCCATCACAGTGATAATCCTAGCCTAGGGCGAAGGATATTTGGCTTTTGTTTAACGTTTCTTCAATTACAATGTTGACCTGTTCCTTGTATTTTATTTGCTGTTTCATTCATGTGCTAATGTGCATTGTCAATGGCACATATAATTGTTTGGTCCTTGAATAGAAATAAAATCGGCATTTTTAGACTCGAGATAACAGCAACACATCATCGCTCAAGTCTATCAAATAGCCATGAAGATCAATACTTTCAGGGACATGTGAATTTGGCGGATCGTGGCCCAGTCTATTTAAATTGGATCAATTTTGTAGATTATTTACAATTTGTATTAATTTTAGGTTCAAGTCATTTTGATTTCAGATTAAGGAATCTCATTATTCCAATTCTGGGTTTCTGTTTTATGTCCAGTCGAGTTTGTTTTTAATTTTGATTTAAAACACATTTCCTTGAATTTCTCGTCCAAATTTATTTCTTCTTACTCCGTTTTTATTGAAACTACTAAAAAGATCATAACTTATTTTCTCAATGCATTTTCTCAGCATCCAAACATGTATTGACTCAATCTTCTAGACCTTTCTCCATGTTGTAAAAGCATTTTTGGCACATTTTTTTTGAAAGGCTTGTCATTCAAAACAATGATATAATTTGTTGCAGTCGAGAGAGAAGAGGAGGAGAGAAATTGAAATTACAGAAGGGTTAGGGATTTCAGGCACTAACTGGGAAATTTGGGAGGAAAGAGAAGCAAAAAGAAAATCAAGTGGGAGTGCATGAGGGAAATAAAATGAATTAAAGAAAGGACTTACCTGCTAAGATGAAGAGGAGGCCCAAAATGCATAGCCCAAAATTGTACACTGTAATCAAATAATACCTGTACAACGAAAGGAATTTTCCTATCTTTTTGAATGAATGAGAACTTTCTGTAACCTACCTCTCTCATTCTCCGTTTTCTCTTTTCTATTATTCTCTTTTATCTTAGCTGTAACAACTGGTATCAGGAGCCATCAATCCTGGCACATTAAACACGGGTTATGCCAAAGAAAAATCAGACGATGGTTGATCCTACAAATCTATCTACCCTGCAAAAGCAGATTGAAGAACTATCAACATTAGTGAAACAAGTAACTGACGACACTCAACAACCCAAATGGTGGACAAGACAAGAGGAACGTATCACTAGCTTGGAGAATCGAATGCACACCAACCAAAGCTATGTGGAGGATATTCTGAAGATCCTAACAAGGAGGAACGAAGACCAAGATCAACCCCCCTCTGAAGGTGACCAGGTACAAACTCCTGAAAACTCTAAAACGATGGGCAAACAACATGTGATGGTTACTGTGGTGAATGACAAATCTCGATTTTCTTACAAAACTGATGAACCTGGTATTTTAAAATCTAAACCAGATGATGTCCACATAACACGACAAATCCTACATTTTAACAGACAAATGGGGGAAAATAGTGGCCTAAACCAAAATCTATTGGCTACAGAGGATAATAGTAAGGTCAAGGTGGTTCTTTTAACTTAAGTAAGTTTTGATTTTGAGTCCTTATATAAGTAGAAAATTCCGGTTGGAAGAGTCACTCATCAAAATTAAATGTGCGACCCGAATCGGTTCTAAGTAAGTTTTGAGTTTGAGTTCTTTTGAACGTAGAAAATCACTGAGGGAAGAGCCACTCACCAAAACTAAATGTCCAACCTGAATCGGATTGAATTAGACAATACAAAACCTTCGAAATCGGAAGCGAAAAAGAAAAGAGGAAAGTTGGTCAAACACATTTGAAAGACGATCGTTCACCTCTTAGCAAAACGCATCATTCTGCCTTTAGCTTTTACTTGTTTTATTTTTAGAAGTATACATGTACCTATGTATGTTCTGAAACACGTGATTAATTTTATATTGATTGGAATCTCTTTAGGCAGAGCCGACTTTAAAAGCTTAGATAATTATGACCCATTTTCACATTTTTTTTTATTTCAGTATTGATATTTATTTGCTTTTCAATTGAAAGAGAAATATATTCTTTCTTTTGTCAGGTGGCTGAACAAAATTCTATGCATCCCAACACTGGATGGTGGACATGGATAGCCCATCCCTACTTTGGTTTACTTTAATTATTTCAGCCTGAATGAACCTACGTTACAGCTTCATGGCGGTTTACTTTAGTTTATCTGATATTTGTGTCAATAAAAAGAAGTGTGTGAGACTATCTTTTCTAAAGACAAACAAGGAAAATCATATGAAATCAATTGCAGAGATTATGAATTATCTTTTTCCACCGAGTAACCAAAAAGCAACAAAAGGGGGGAATTATTTATTATGAATTAAGAAAGGAAGAAGCAACCAGATCATGTGCATGTGAATTTGCAGTAAACTTCAGCTACTGAAGAGTTAAGAGAATCTTTAGATTATCTGTTGAAATATCTATAATTAGGATGCACAACAAATTGACTTGATTTGACTTAACTGGTTTGTTAATGCTCATTATACAACATGCAAACATCAATTAGGGTGGTTTGGACTAGACAATGTAGGGGAAGGAAAGCATGGAACAGGTAGTCTATTTGGACTCCTTAAAACAAGGAACAATTAGGGTGGTCCAGGTGCCCTTAACTGTTGCCGCTGTATCTCTTTATAATGTTCATCATTGCTTCTAGATTGTGTGCAGAAATTAAAGTGCGCCATGAAGACAAAGGCTTCCCTACAAGATTTCTCTGTATGATTATTCAATTATTAAAAAAATTACAGCCTTGAGACGATAGACAAATGATTGTTGGTCAATTTACCACCCCAAATATTGTAGAATGAAGAACAGACGAAGGCGAAGATAGCAACATAAACATATCACGTTTTTTTATATCTATATAACTGGATTCAGATTAAACGTATTGGGTGAGTATATATTTAACATCTATACAGGCGGCACGAACCAAGGTGCATCCATATTAAAATAATTATTGTTATTCTTTGAGGATCTGGGTTCGAACACCATAGATTTTAAAAATATAAATGATTAATGTCAAAAAGTTGATACTTTATCTTTAAACAAATATTGCATTGTACTTACATTAGATTAATAAAAAAAACATCCATACGGGTTGAACAGCCAAAGGGAGGGGAAAATATGAGCAAATTCGAATCATCTGGTCTCCATCTTTCTATCTTAATACAGGTTGTAATTTAACAAAAAGTTAAAAGAACAGAAAAATAGAATTTTTTTTTTCTGCCTAGTGGAGTTCCTAGCTAATAGGAAATCAGGAATCAGATTGCTTACGAGGACCCCACAGGGCAGTGGCCTCATGTGTGTTCCATTGTAATGAACAATAATAATAAAAAAAGCATTTCCTCTCCCTTAATTCCTTGTTCAAATGATGGTTAGCGAGTTAATCAAAACGGGGGATTCGTTAAGCACTGTTCATATATGCATCAGATCAGATGTCCTCTTCCTTTGTAACACAACCCACGTGTTCGCTTTCCATGTCTGGTTTTGAAACCTGTTTGACAATCTGGTGTCTGTTTATATGTTCATAATGTTGCAGATTCTATCACATTGGTAAGCTTTCCATTGGCCGGTTTTGTTTAATCAACCCACTAGATTTTTAATATACGTTGTTCAACAAATGAGGTGAACAGTGTCCGATGTAGAAAAAGAAAAGGAAAGCATACATGCATGTGAAATTCGAAGGACTCTTAGTGGGGTTTTTGACGAGTTCATATGAAATATAGTGAGGGATAAATCAAAAAGTTTTGCAAAGCGTGAATTCACGAATTGGCTTAACAACAAAGATGATCTCCAGTTCCAGGCATATACATTCTATTTTAATTTGCCACATGGGAAACAAATTAGCCGAGCTGTAATCACTTTGTAATATTTATATATGTGCCATGGGGCCCCAGCCTTCTTTAATTCTTGCTTTCCTTACATGATTATGTATTTTCTTGGGGGAATTAAGAATCATATAATGCCTCTAGTGACCACTATTGTATATGCCATTTCACTCTGAATTTCTCTCTTTTAAGTCTTTTACTTTACTTACAACTAGGCCTATAATCTCTCATGGAATTGGACAGGGATATCAACATCGAGAATGATGCTTCTCGTAGTTATTACAACTTGCTCAGCTCTTCTTCCGTCGTCTCTACCACCGTCACCTCCTCTTCTTCTTCCTCCTCCTCTTCCGCTTCCACAACGTTATCGTGTGTAGCTGATAGAAGGTCAAAGAAAGCTGGAGACATGGAAAATGATAAGGAGAAAAAGAAAAGACAAAGGAGTGGTGGTAATGATGATGGCAAGCATGCGACATACCGTGGGGTGCGCATGCGAAGCTGGGGTAAATGGGTGTCTGAAATTCGAGAACCGAGGAAGAAATCGAGGATATGGCTTGGGACATACCCGACAGCCGAAATGGCTGCTCGTGCTCATGATGTAGCTGCACTCGCCATTAAGGGAAGCTCGGCTTACCTTAATTTCCCTGAACTTGAAAAGGAGCTCCCACGCCCTGCCAGTACGACTCCCAAGGATATCCAAGCAGCCGCGTCTGAAGCAGCCGCCGCGACATTCTTCGAGACCAAAACTGAAGCCGGCCTAAGACAAGAACAACTTCCTGTTTCGCATTTATCCAACAACGTACTCGAGTCATCAAGTTCACCCTCCATTAACGACGACGATTCGTTGTTTGATCTGCCCGATCTCATGACCGATGCCATGGACCGAAGCGACGGGTTCTGCTCTTATTCTTCATCAGCATGGCAAATATGTGAAGTCGATTCTGGGTTCCGGATCGAGGAGCCATTCTCCTGGGATTATTACTAGCAAGATCACATTCACACCATCTCAGTAAATGTAATCATTTCGTGGTCAAAATCTCTAACTTCGAAAATCATTCATCTCTCCACACAAAATATTCCAGCTCGCTTTTCAATTGTCAAGTTCGTGTCTTTTCCACTTTAGTTCTCATAGAGTTAAAAAAAGGTTAAATCTTCTCTGTAATATATATGAAATTAATTGTATACTTCAACCCACCTTTTGTTCTTTGTTCTAATTGTTTACAAGAAACGATAAATTCTACTTTCCAACTTTACTACAGCAAATACCTCATTAAAAATCAACAACAACAATGCCTTATTGCAATGGAACTTTCCACTCGACTGGCTTTAAAGACTAAAGTGATTAGCTAAAGTTATTTGTCTGAACAAAAAAGAAAAAGATAACATGTCTGTCTATAGGTTGGAAAAACATCCCAACTCAAATTCATCGCAGGGTGAATAATATCCTGGCAAAATCATGTTCTTTCTCTTAAATGGAAATAGTGAGATGGTGATGGTGTTGCCCAACATCATCTCTTTTTCTTTCCATCATTTATCTAAAAGAAACCAAAGGCAGATTCCCAAACAAAGTGAAAGCATAATCTAGTTAATGTTATTCCAATGTTCAAAAATATCCTCCATTTTATTATTTTTATAGGAGTTAAAAAATTATTCGAACACGAATTATTTAAGGATATTAACAATTTTTTTATCAATAGGATTGTTTTCTGAATTTATTTTTTAATCTTTTGATAGAGTTACACATTTAAATAATAAAATTGAATATTAATCTCAAATTTTAAGTTCCATTATCCAAGTATAGGGTAACTATACCCCAAAAGATAAGACTCTTTGTTAGTGGCAAATGACATCAGCGTCATTATCTCCTTATATTCTATTTCCCATCATATAATTAGGATATAATTAAGCCAAACTTTGGGAAGAAGAGACGAAATACAGGGTAAACAGTGTCACAAATTAATAGACCCACCAGGTACTTAATAATTCGGGTTAAATTTTTGTCTTTAGGTAGAATTATTGGGAACCGGGTTCGCTCTTTCTTAATTATAGATAATGTTCAAATAAAATGCAAGGTCAACAAAAAGACAATAATATAGAAGTTAACCACCTTGGAATCTCACGTTTCCCGAGGAAGAATTTTAACACTAATATTTATAAAATATAATTAATTAACGTATGCATTAAAACAAAATTAAACAGGTTAACACAATTTGTTCTTTAACGAGTCCCAGGAGATAGGATTGTTCATTCGGTTAATTTGGTGGCTGAACCGACCGAATTACCATTAATCGAATTAATCTAATTTTTTTTCTTTAACCGAACCAAATTTTTTTTCGAAAATATTAACCGAACCGAATAAAGTTCGTTAATTCGGTTAATTTTCGAATTAATCGAATTTTTTTAGAATTTCGAATTTATATAAAAATTAAATATTTTTTAATTCAAAAAAACAGTTTATAATTAATTTAAATAATATATAATTATAAAATAAAAATTTTATATAAATTTTTAATTAATTATATTGATTTAAGTTTAAAAGTTATTGGATCTTAAATTATTAATTGGGTTTTAAATGGTTTGAGCTTAGCCCATATGTTATATATAATATATTTAATATTTTTTAATTCAAAAAAACAGTTTACAATTAATTTAAATAATATATAATTATAAAATAAAAAATTTATATAATTTTTGTAATTAATTAATATTGATTTAGGTTTAAAAGTTATTGAATCTTAAATTATTAATTGGGTTTTAAATGGTTTGGGCTAAGCCCATATGTTATATATAATATATTTAAAATTTGATTTCGGTTAATTCGGTTAATTAACCGATTTCGAATCGAATTAATCGTTAATCGAATTCTAAAAATTTTCTTAACCGTTAATCGACCGAACTAATTCGGTGACCGACCGAATTAATCGAACTAATTCGGTTTGATCAGTTAACCGAATTAGTTCAAAAATTTGAACACCCCTACTAGGAGACTTGAAAGCGACACTGAAAACACAGCTTGAGCTTTCCAGTGCATTTGTGAACTATCATCACGGCGTGTTTAACGATAGTAATACACCTTAATAATAAATATTAACCTAATGTAATAAATATTAACCTAATGTAATAAATATTAACCTAATATAATTTAATAATAGTGTATAAGTAGACTCATTAGATATAGAGATAAAAGAGGTAAGAAATACAGCTTTTAACTTTGATCACACATTATTAAAAAATATAACCTAATCACTCCAATATGTCTATATAAAATAATCCCATTAAACTTTTCAACTCATGAATATAATATATATTAAATTATGATGTTAGTTACTATAGTTTTTTTTTAAAGCATAATTTTAAAATACATTTGGGAAAAGTAGCCCCTAGAAGGGGCGCCCCTTAATATATGCATTTACATTTGGTGTTTTGTCAACATTTTCTTTTGAAATCACACTTAAGGGAATACGTTTTCGGTCTACTAAAACAAATATACGTTTCAAGTAAAGTATCTTATCAAAAAAAGTGTTAAATCGATAAAATTTGACAAAACGATGTTTGACAAATAATATTATAATATATATGTGATTTTTAGGTAAAAATGTCCTACATCACGTATCAACAGTAAGAGCTTTTATTAGTGACGGTATTATTGGTCGAGTAAAAATAAAAACGTCAGTTATTCTGCTGTTTACACGTTGAAAATTCAAAGCAGTGACATAGGCACATGTAGTGACCATTTGGCGTACCTTTCATTAGTTGTGACCCATATCTAGATAGTTTGTGATTAACTTTCTAATTGTCACAATTAGAAAGTTAATTGTTTGTACGCTTCCCTTACAACAGGGCCTAATCATTTTCAACCAAATGGATAATATATTTTAAGAAAATGGTGTTCAATAAAAGACTGGAATAATTACTGTCAACTGGGTCAATTTAAGCAAACCATTAGCGTCTTTAAATTATTATTATACATTCTATACTTGAATTTTATAAAGTCTCGTAAATGATTAATAAATTAATACATGAACCAGATCCAAATATATAAAACAAATGCTAACAGAAGAAAATCAAATTAGCAGTCCAAGGACTAAAACCATACTGGGTGAAGAAATATTAAACGCACTGTTTTATATATATATATATATATATATATATATATATATTTCAATATCTAAAAACTTTGTATATCACCTTCAATGGGGTTAACGAAGATGTTGTAACCAATAATTTTCCAAGTTTAACGATCGAAAAGTGACATGAAATATGGATGACCAAATTGAATGATATAAGAAAAGTGAAACCTTGCATGTTATTTGCCCTAAACTTTAGCTAGTGAATTTTGTTGGAAATTACAAGCCTCTCAACCCAACAAATTCAAATTCCCAAAAACTCATATCTCCATCAATTTTAGATAGAAGATGTCCAAATTCAAAGAAAATTCCTTAATGCATGTGTGATCTAAACACATTTGGAAAGCTTGTGAGCCAAGCTTCAATTCTATGGGATTAGATTTGAATCACAAGTTTAGGTAATGAAACCCTAAAGCCTACTATATGTCAATGGTTATTCATTTTGAGATTTGATTATGAAATTAATGTTAGATTATGTCATTAACGTGTTAAAATGTGTATTTAAAGTTGTGGTGGGAATTTCCAAAGTCTTGGAAAGCAACATAATAATCCATAATTCAATGATCTTTATTTATATTTTCTTCACTTCTCCACCAATAAAATGATAAGACGACATAATAATCTTTATTTACATACCAAATATCATGTTATTAGATGATAGTAACTTATTAAACAAATTTTGTATTGATGTGACAATAGTCTTCATCTAATTAATGATCAATTTGATTGAAATTAACGCGTTAAAAATTAAAATAATTCAAAAACAAATATAAAAATAACTGCAAAATTTCTCAATTAATATGAGAAAATTGCACCTCAACAATTGCATAGATAATCACTTTGACTTTTGTTTTTTCGAGAATATTTTAACTCAAAATTTTAATTTTGATCAAAACATGTTCAAAAAAGTTGTGAGAAATTAAAAACTTTGACCCATATTTTAAACAGATAATAGTAAAGATTCGTATAATTAGTTTTCGGTGATAGACACATGTAAGTTTATAGTTGGTGATCTCTACAATCATGTTATTGTATGTTGATCATCTAGATATCTTATCCTGGAAGGTAGACGATCAACGATCTCAAACACCAAGGAGTGACTGAAAATGTCTTTAAAAAAATGTGTAGTTACAAGCCTCAACTTATTTCCAATGCATTAAACTGTCAGTTATCAGATTTTCATTTCTTATATTATTTTCAAGTATTAATAAAATTCGTCTCAGATTATTATATTTTTTTAACAATGACAACTGTATTTCATTAATAATGGAAGGAATCAAAATTACTAACACATCAAAAAATAGAGTGAAATTTTGAGATAATAGTCACTAAAATACTCGTACAAAAGTAAAATATTAAACTTAAAGATACGAAGAAAAATAAAACCTTCCATTGAGATAGCCTTTATAAAAACTCATCGTCTTTGTCGAATGAGACACTTTACGCATTGGTAAATGAGTGATGAGCGAACCGAACAATTTGGCAGGTTGTTACGTTACATAATTCTGATTACATCGACAAACAACATTTTACCAAAAGAGGGGACCTGACTATACTTGACCATCAACAAACCAATCAAAAAATAAATATCGTGATTTTTGTGCAAGAACCAAAATAAGCACAGAGGTATGAAAAAAACATACCAAAAAACCATAAGAATCGTACCGCAAGAGCATAGACAAGCGTGTCACAAGGATATATATTTTTATTCAAAATTAAAAAGACTCAAAATAAAAAGAAAAGAAAAGACGTAATATAAAAAAATAAGAGAACTAATAATCACTGACTATCGACTATCAACTATCAACATAAAGATTAGTGTCGTCGATTAGACAAAAATCAAAGATAAAGGAGAAGACCAAACAAAAAATATTGAAATAAATTATTATATTTTTAACAAAATAAACTCTATTAGATAAAATTATTGTTTAATTAACAATTAATTCATGTTACCAACTTTTGGTATCAAAACAACAACAATAAATGAATATTATATGAGTAAATAAATTTAAAACGTTGTTATATTTATTAATAATTTTAAAAATTATATGTTCAAATAACAAATCCGTTGTAATTAGAAATGAATTTTAAGAAAAGTGAAGTGAAAAGATGGCATCAAATCAACAATAATGGCGGGGATAAGCCATCGAGGGCCGGAAGGGGAGACAACAAATTATTGAACGAACTGCCAATGACGAATCCATTTGCCAAGAACTTCACTAGGATGCTTTACAAACCTAAAGACTTAACGTCTATTCATTTATCTTTCTTTGTATTTGAATAGTAGAGGGACTAAATTACACCCTTTGATATGGAATGGACCAAATTGTTCTCGGCTGAATAGTTTATTGAAAAAGTATTCAACACCTTCACCAGCTGTCCTTTTTTCTCACTTTCTAATAATACAAGAATTAAATTGATTTGTTTCTTTTGAGAGGGACTAAGTTGCTCTTAATCTTATAGTACAAGGACCTCTTGAGCATTTGCTAGATTTAATTTTTCTTCTAGAAATTAAGGCTTGACAATGACACAGGGTTTTAATCGAGAGCCGTAACCAACACTTACACCCAATCAACCATAACCGTCCGATTGACAGACCATTGGGGTAGAAAGTAGAAACTAGGCATGTGGGCCAATAGTCTCACGGATAGGAGAAATCACCGCCACAGCGTATTCTTTCTTCCAACCCAGGCATAACCATTTCGAAAACCCCTTTCTCTCTCTACCAGGTCCGTACGGATATTTAGGGTTTCAATCTTCGACTTCGATCGAATCGCTAGGCCTTTGAATATCGTCGTCGTATATTGAATCGAATTGCCAAATTCGAAAATATGGTTCTTTCTCAGAGGATTCATGAAGCATTCAAAGGAACTGTGGAGAGAATTACGGGGCCCCGAACCGTCTCTGCTTTTAAAGAGAAAGGGGTTCTGAGTGTCTCCGAGTTCATCCTGGCCGGGGATAATCTCGTCTCCAATTGCCCTACCTGGTCTTGGTATCTTCTCCATGCTATCAATATATGTGCTTTATTTTTAAGTTTGCAACTTCGTTTTGATCGTTTTAGATTGATCTGAATCGATCTTTATTTTCTTGTCGTATATCGATATTTACGTATTAGTATTTTGTGGTAAAATTGTAGTTTAGCTTCATGAGTCATGGTATAACAATTTGATTCAGTGGATTGTTATGAATGTTAGGGAATCGGGAGAGCCAAGCAAGAGGAAGTCCTATTTGCCAGCCGAAAAGCAATACTTGATTACAAGAAATGGTAAATTGACTACCAACGTTTTATTTTATTTTCTTGTCTAGTCTATTGCTTTTCCCTTTGAATTGTAAATCATGATTAGCACTAGTAATACTATTTGATCATTTCGCGGTTAGTCCCTTGCCTAAGGAGGGCTGCATCGGTGGAAGAAGAATATGAGGCTGCCGGAGGAGAGGTTCTTCTTGATAACGAAGACAATGACGGTTGGTTGGCAACTCATGGGAAACCCAAAGGTATTATCTTTCTCCTTGAGATTGTACTTTTTTGGATTCTAAGATGGAAATTTGGGCTTTGCAAAACTGATCTTTCTGACAGATAGAAGTGATGTGGAGGAAAACCTGCCTTCAATGGAGACTCTAGAAATCAGACAGAACGAAACTTTAAGATCAATACCTTCATATTTTGGGGGTGGGGAAGATGAAGATGATATACCTGACATGGCTGATTATGAAGAAGCTGACAATCTTGTTGAGACTGATGCAGTAAGTGTTAAGAAATTTATTTGATTTCTGAGATGCAAAAACTCTCTGAACAAGTGGTTTTTATTTTTGTTTGCTCCTTTTCCATTTTGTAACCAATTGATGCAGATTAGCCTTGTATCAAAGTTCTAAGCTTATCAACCAATGTCCTGTACTATCTTAATATTACATATCTTGGTCAATATGGGTGAGGGCGGGTGGGGGATAATAGAGAGACAGAAAGGAAAGGAAAGACTATGTTGCGGTTAGGTGCAGGGATATAGTTTTATACTTAAAAAACTTGTCCTTATGGACATCGATTCTAATTTCTTATTCCCTCCTTAGAGGTTCTAATGTTTGTGTTCTGAGATAATGTGTGTCTGATCAATGTAGGCAACTTTACAACCGACATATCTTGTCGCTCAAGAACCTGATGATGACAATATTTTACGGACCCGAACCTATGATGTCAGCATCACGTAAGGCAATTCTGGTGCCTGCAAACTTGCTTAGGATTTGTTTTCAGAACATGCATGTTCTTATGAAAACTCAAACTTGCCTGACATTATCATTTTTTAGGTATGATAAATACTATCAAACTCCTCGTGTATGGCTTACTGGGTATGATGAGGTAGGTGTTGGATAATTCCTATTTGTAATGATTTATATTTGTTGAATCAAATATCAAATTTATCAATTTAGCTTCAAATCATTGTCCTCATCTGAATTTGATGATAGTCGAGGATGCTTTTACAACCAGAGCTTGTTCTGGAGGATGTTAGTCAGGATCATGCACACAAAACGGTATGCCATATTTATTAATTTAGATTCCCTGTCTCATCTCATTCGTTTGAAAATGTCTTTTACTCTATCCCGAATTACCTGGGTTCAGGTTACCATTGAGGACCATCCTCATCTACCTGGGAAGCATGCATCTGTCCATCCATGCAGACATGGTGCCGTGATGAAAAAGATCATTGATGTGCTTATGTCACGAGGAGTAGAACCTGAAGTTGATAAGTGAGACATCTGGCCCCTCATTTACTACTCAATTGCTTTCAATTGACCCTCCTTCCTTTTAGAAAACATCTATGCAGTGCGATAACTATTTGCCACAATTTTTCTTTAGAAATAACAGTCAACATTTTTCTCTTACCCTCTTAGAAATGTGGTATGCATGTACTTTTTGAAGGATCAGTGCAACTAATTCAATTGTTGTTGTATAGCAATTCTCTCTGTTTTGACATGGTGTGACATTTTCCTCGTGAATTTTCGACTCAATTATTGCAGGTATCTTTTCTTGTTCTTGAAATTTGTTGCCTCTGTAATTCCAACAATCGAGTATGACTACACCATGGACTTTGATCTTGGCAGCACCAGCACTTAATTAGAGGTAAACCATCAATAACTGAAGGCTTGGCTTTAGATCCAATAACTGAAGGCTTTCTTAGCTTTAGATCCAATTTATTGTTCTGTTCTTGAAATTTGTAGCATCTGGAATTCCAACAAATGAGTATGGCTAAACCTTAATTTCTTTCTCTTTCGGTCTTTGTACCACCCGAAACCTGCTTTGTATTTTTCAAGCCAGGAATTGTTATCCTTGACCCCCTCACTTAATTCTGCAATGTTCAAAAGTTTGGAAGTCCAGCAGAGTACCTATGGGGTCTTGAGTCTTTTAACCCAAATTTTTTATGAAATATCTTTGTGTCTGTACTATATATGTTCCTCATTCTTGCTACCTGACTCAGTTGAATCTCTTTTTTTGGACTATATTTAACTTGCAGCTGGTACATTATCTGGTATACCTGTAACGCGGAATCCACTGCTTGTAAATGTGTACCTAGTGCATGGTAATAACCCTTCCTCGTATTCTTTGCTCGACTGAACTACAAGTTCTGATCATGTTTACATTATAGTTTGTTCATATACCCTACTCAGTGCCACCACCCTTGAAAAACCTCTAGTGGTATCAAACTGAAACTGAACCTTGTTTTCATCATTGTTATTGGGAATATTGTTTGTGCCACAAGAATTATTTGATATCATTGAGTTGATTGTACCTGTCAAAACTTATTCTGGAATTGTGAATTAGCAAGATACCATATGTTTGGTGCAGATAAACTAATATTACCTCTTTGTTGAGTATGAACCATTATATACACTCAAAGCTGAAAAGATTCCCAGAGGGTCTCACACATAGCACGAATGTATTTTATTGCCTGCACTTGTGAACGTGATGAAGACATTAATAATTTCATCAAATTTATGACTTGATGGTTGGAATGTACGACTGCAAATATAAATTCATCTTTACAGATCATTGCTTTTTATAAAAGCCAAAACCCGAGCCACTTGACGAGAAAACCAAAGATATCAGGCCTGCTGATGCCGGTACCAGGCTTCAGGTTGGTTATTGACCGCCGACGGCTCCCCTCGTCGTTTGTGTTTTTTCTCTTTTACATTCCTTGTCATGTTCTTTCACCTATCCCATAATTTTCTCCCTTGTATCCGCCCAACCTCCTCCGTCTTCGCCTCTTGTCCCTCTCCTTATCTTTTCTTGACTTTGCTGTTTTTTTTTTGGCTTAATGATACTTGATGTCTTTTAAACTTTTGGGGGAAAAAACTAAAAAAACAATATATATATATATATATATATATATATATATATATATATATATAAGCAATATATTACCCTGATGTATTGGATTAATATCATCCTGATCTATTAGAAAAGCAACAGACGAATGAGAATGGGAGATTCAATTTATAACTTGTTGAAGTTTACCCCCCAAACAAAAAAAAAAGAACTTTATATGACATGAAATTGTTTTATATTACCTATGACCCGATAAATGTTTTACATACACATTCCCCTTTTTACATATATATATGAAGAAAAAATAAATACCAGCTCAAAAGTAAATTGAAACTTGACAAGAATTCAATGTATATGTATATGTATATGTACATGTATATGTATATGTATATATATATGTACATGTATATGTATATGTATAGAGAGAGATAGAGAGAGAGAGAGAGAATAAGTTGCTGTTGGCATTATAAAAATTAGAAAACAAAGTAAAGGCAAACCCTATATGAATGGCATGAGTATTATACGCTACGAAGAAGAATGCCTTCAAATGTAATTCCAGGACCAAATGCCAAGGCAAGCCCCCATTCGTCCCCTCCCTCTCTCTTCAACTTTTCCCTCATGTAGTCCATGACATAGAATATGGTATTGCTGCTCACATTTCCATAGTCCTTCAATGCTCCCCTGCTACATTCTAGTTTCCCCTCTTTTAGTTTCAGAGTGTTATCCAATCGGTTATGTATTGCCGGTCCTCCAGGATGAACTGCCCAAAACAAGTCATTGAATTCCGTCAAACTAGCCTTTGACATGAGTTTCCTGCAGAATGCCTCGATGTTGTCCTCGATCTTTTGCGGAAGGTCTCTGCCAAGTTTGAAGTTTATGCCTTCTTCAGTAAGGCACCCATCAACAACGTGTTGTGTCCCTGGCAGAAACTGTTGGACTGCATAGCTGAGTTCCATGAAAGGAGATTCTTTGCCCGTTACTGGATTGGATCCGATGATCACCGCTGCTGCTCCATCGCCAAAAAGTGCTGCACCCACAAGATCATAACGCATAAGGACGTGCTTTGTTTGGAGGTCGAAAACCAAGGATGGTAGTTTCCGATGTAGTTAGCAGAATCCGACTTCCTGGGTTGTTTTCTGCTATGTCTTTAGCTACTCGAAGGCCAGTGGCACCACCGTAACAACCAAGAAAGTAAAGCATTACCCGGTTAACATCATTTCTTAAGCCAAGTTCGCTAGCAAGGTAAAGATCACCCCCGGGTAAGCGTATTTCACTGGAAGAAACATATATGATATGGGTGATATCAGTAGCAGGCCTCCTCCATTCCTTTATGCAAGCTAGGCTTGCTTGCAATGCCATCTCAACAACTGCCGGGTTTGCTATGTCAAGCCTTTGTTTGATTGTTGGTGAACCCTCAGTTGCCAATTCCGGGTATTCATCTAAAACCTCCTTGTACATCACTGTGTACCTAGTCTTCACAGTAGTTGTTTTACCTACAAAAAAGAAACACATTATATCATTTTTCAAGCAAGTAGGGTTAATCAATGCTCGTAGTTACGGAGGCGTGAAACAGAGAGTTCTGCTTGCATAAACGTTCCAGTTTCTCTTGATGGAGACATCTTGGCATTTTGTATCACGGATGTAGCCCTGCACCACGTATTCTTGAGGAATGAGTTGACTCGGAAAGGCCTTGCCAATGGAAAGCACTGTTGCCTTCCCTGGAGTGGAATCTCGCTCGAGACGCTGCCATGGAGCATCGTTATTGTCAGTCTTTGACATCTTCAGGAGCGGTGGAAAGAAGATACTTGTCTTTTGTAAAAGTTTAATAATACAAGTATTTTCAGGGGCAAAGAATATAAAGGAAAGGTTGGGTTGTTCATGGAGAGAGTTTGGTTTCAAGAAAGCCTATCATGAAAAGGTGGCTTTCTAATATTTTGGACAAAGGTTGTTAGAAGTCTTTTTCTTCTTTAGATCCTCCTAACTAATTGTAATTTAAAACATCACTTGGCTTTTGGCATGATTAGAAAATATAGGATTTACAACTTAAATGTAAGGAAACCCTTCTTCATCCTCTTCTGATGAATAAAAGAACAAAACGGAAATTTGGAAAAATCTCCTTATCCACATCCCTCATTTTCTCTTTAGTATTCTCAAATGAGGCATCTCGGGATCGAATGCTTACATGCACAATAAAATAAATAAACGTCAAGTAGCCTTGAATTTTAACACTTGCAGTCGGAAGACTTGGCAACTTTTCAGAATCCCATCATTTTTTGGTGTTTGGAATGCTGCAGAAGAGTAGACCCTCGTAATAAGTGGATTTATTTAAGACTTCAACTATACCTGTTTCGTGGTTGGCTTAAATGATATGCCTGACTTCCTGCTACTCGATTCTCCTAGATTATAATTGTGGATGAAATTTAATATGAATATAACAAGTTCACCAATAAATGTATAACAGGACTTACTGGGATATTTATCTATGAAATTTCTTAATTGTCTCTGCTAAATATTGGGGAAAAGAAACGAGCCCATGCAGCAGGACCCTGTGAGTGAAACATAGGTCAAAATGTTTACATAATTCTTACAAAAACAACACAGCGTCTTATGCAGACACAAGCTAGTACAGTTCATCTCGTTGAAACAGGGGATTAGGGTATCATCCCAACTTATGAGACATGATATTACCGGAAGTGGTCAGGTATTAGAGTGTTGAAGAACTAAGTGAACCCTATCTTGACGGCTCCACCTATTTCAATGTCAATAATTCAGATGAGCCAAAAAAACTCCTTTAGTTAAGATACTTGGTCTACTTTACCTGTTTGACACTTTGGAAAATGAACCAAATTATAATATAAAAAAGTTCCAACAGAATCATTGCTGCCGAAATTTTGGCATACTGGTGCTGAATTTTGGAGAAGCTTTGTTAACCTGCAACTGATTCGGCATTCTCTTTGATACAAACTCAGCTTCATCTAACCTTCCTCCCGCTTCTAATGCCATTTTCAAATTGTCAATGCATCTCAACTGTTGATGTTTTCCCCTCTCCACCAGTTCATAATACAAACCAAATGCTTCTGAAAGTCTCCTGTTATTACAAAGACCTTCTATAACTGTGCAGCACATTCCAATATCAACAGTTTGATGCTTTTCCAAACTAAATTGCATCATCTTGCAAGCCTCTAAAAACATTCCGCTCTGGCAAAGGAAATAAACCAAGTCTTCCATATCAACCATATAGCTGTTATCATATAGTAATACAAGAACTTGAAAAGCTTTACCTTGCATCCGTCTTGAAAACAGCAACTTTACAGTCTCTGTCGAAAGAATGATATTCAGTCTAATTCTTGTGTCCAGCATTAGAGTTACCAAACTGGCTGCTTCTCGGGCGCAACCCTTTTTCAGAAGTTCTGCCAGTATAGCATGAACAGAAGATGTTCGAGGGAGATGTGAGCTCTTCAGCATCTTCTCTAAGGTCAGGTGGGCAAGAAGAGGTTCACCCTTCTGCAAGAGACCAGCAATCAACGAGTCGTAGATCTCAAAACCAGGTTCGAAGTCTAATCTCAACATCAACACCAATAGCTCATATCCAGCTTTAAACAAGCCTTCCTTGCAGTGTCCTAAGATTAAAGTCTGATAAGCAGGAGGGTCTTGTCTTCCCCTTTTCAATAGCTGTCTAAAAACTCTCTCAGCTTTCTTAGTTTTTCCATTACCACATAAATACTCAAACATTGGATTATAAGCCGCAACAAGAGGCATACAAGCTACATCACTTAATAGGATCTCCTTTTCGGCTAGATCGTCAAAGAATTCCTCTGCCTTCTCAAAATTTCCTATTTGACACAAACTCCTAATTATAACACTATAAGTAGCTGAATCCGATGGTACATCCAATTCTGACAGCCTCTTGAACACATTCAAAGCTTCATCTATGTTTCCAGCGTCGCAGTGTGCATTTATTAGTGTGTTGAAAGTGCATGTATCCGGAGTAAATCTTCCATATTCTCCCATTCCCTCCAAAATTTCTTTTATCTTATCAAACTTCTGCAGCACAGAGAGCCCTTTAATTAAAGTATTATAAGTAATCTTATTCGGTTTCAAGCCTTTACAGATCATCTCTTGGAAAACAGCCAACGCTTCATCAATATCTTGCTTCATACAATACCCTCTAACCAAAGTAGTATAAGTAACAACATTAGGATTCAAATCCAAACTTTTCTTGCTCATACCTTTCACCACATTGTAGGCAATTCCGACCTTTCCCGCCCTGCACAATCCGTCAACGATCGTATTATAAGTGACAACATCAGGACCACATTTAAAGTGCTCCATTTCCTTGAAAAACCTAAACCCCTCATCAACCATTGAATTCATGCAAAACCCCTTGATTAAAATGTTAAAAGTATACACATCCGGAGTAACCCCAAACGTGCTAAGCATTTCATCGAACACACTCTTTGCCATATTCGTGCGTCCTCTTTTAAGCAAAATCGACAAAAGGTTATTGAATGAAACAACTGAAGGAGACACGCCAATGCTTTTCATTGTTTCAAAAACCTGGATAGCCTCTTGAAACAACCCAGCTCTTCCGTAGCTCCTTATCAAGCTGTTAAAGAACTTGTGCTCCAGCTTAACAGACCCATTAGACCTTTTCTCAATGGAAAGCAGTAAATTACGAGCTGCATTGAGATTTCTCCCTTTACCCAATATTTCAATCATAAAGAAAAATGACTGAGCATCGTGAGGGAAGCCCATTTTTTGAACCCAGTTGAAGAATTGAAGAGTTTTATAAGGGTTTTTAATGAGGCGAAGTGTTTGCAAAACGGTGGTTTTGGAAAGAGACGGAGATATAGATGAAATAGAGGATTCAAGCTCACTTGACCATGGCGTGGAGTTGATGACACGAGCCATAGTTTTTGCCCCCTTGGTTTTGGTGGATGATTTCGCTTCATCGCCCAATCCCTGCTTTTCTTCATGGGTGCCATCATCGCCATGGATCTTGATTCGACGTGAGGAGAAGCACCTTTTCTTTTTTTTTTTTTGCTTGAAATTAGAAGAGATTATGAAGAAGCCAAAAGAAATGGAAGCAAATAGAAGAAAAATAGACCTACCGGAGAAGAAAACCAAGCGGAGACTGGTAGAAAAAAGAGTTGCTGGCCGGCTCGATAGTGAGAACGAGGATTAAGCGCCATTTCCATGAACATAAAAATACCAAAACATATACTTTTAGTTCCTCAGTTAGCTGATTTCCTTAGTCACTTCGTATATAAATAAGGGTAAATTACACCGTTTCTGACTAAACTATGCTCTCTCTCCTATTTTAATCATTGTACTTTCAATTTGTTAATTAACTCACTAAACTTTTGAATTGCTACTATTTTGATCACTCTGAATTATTTTATTATTATTATTATTAATATAAAATAAAAATAGAAGGTGGTCGGATGTCGTCGTTAGGGGTGTAAACGAGCCAAGTCGAGCTCGAGTAGTGCTGAGCTCGACTCGACTCGAAAACTCTGAAATAAAACTCGACTCGACTCGAAAACTAGTGAGCTTAATATTTTCAAGTTCGACTCGAACTTGAAATCTTGAACTGAAGCTCGTGAGCAGCTCGAAATGAAAAAAAATCTTAAACTTAACTCGATTGAAGCCTCAAACTCAAACCTGGACCTTAAATACATGAAAATCTTATTGTATTTAAAAAAATCAATGCACAAATGTTAATATTATTAATAATTTATTTTTTAAAAAATAAAACATTAATATATTATGTTTTCGAGCTGCTCACAAGCTTTTCGAGTAAAATATCAAGTAGCTCATTTCGGCTCGCTAAGAACTCGAGTCAAGTCCATTCGATCCGAGTATTTATCGAGTCTTGATCGAGTCGATCTCGAGTAGCTTGCTATCTGTCTCGTCTCATTTACAGCCCTAATCGTCGTATATGGTGGTCGTTCGGTCCTAAATTCCATGGTTCGCTTCATCTCGACACCGTGAGTTTGAATTTGACCTCTATTTTGTCAGAACTTACTCTGAAGTCCACAAATTAGAGATTGAAATTGAGGAAGTCGAAGCGTTATAGTTGAGATTCACGAGTTTTGGGAAATTTTTTGGTGAAACAACTATCATATTCGGTCTCATGGGGTTAAGACGAACTTGCCCATGAAATTTATGATCGAACGACCACTATCTACAGCTGTCGATAGTCACCGACGGTGATGTAAGGCCAATTTATGTTTTTATTTTATATTTTCAATTATTTTATATTAAATAATAAAAAGTGTCATGTTATATATAAATAATAATGATAAAATAATTAAGAGCGATCAAAACATGAATAATTTAAAAATTTAATGAGTAAATTAAAAAAATTAAAAGTAAGGCGAGTAAAATAAAAGAGAAAGAATAGTATAATCTACCCTAGAAATAATTAAACCAAGACAGGAACAGCCGTTGGCTGATAAGAATAGTATAATCTACCCTAAAAATTCGCTATCAGCTTATAACCAATTCGCGGGTTAACTCAGAAATTGATTAATTTTTGTGTTCATTAAATTCAAATAAATTATATTTTAACTACTTACGTTATTGATGGTTATATTTTAGTCATTTAACCGTTAATTTTAATTAATTTAATAATGTGGCATATTAGTTAAGATGAGTCAATTTTTAATTTGGACACGTGAATTTTAGATATAATATTAATTTGATCTTAAACTTTAGATGAAATATTTTTTTGACCCTTAAACAATAGATAAATATCAATTTAACTATTAAATTCGACTAAAATCTCACAAAATCAACCATCACATATCATCTTTGTTGTCAATCACTGTCAACGATTATTGTTGGACCTTAAAATTTGTAGTTCACTACTTTTTCCGTTTCACCGGTAATATACTCATACTCAACAAATATAACATAGAATCTTTTGACTTACTTTAAAATAAAATCACAATAACAAATTTATAATTAATATTTCTTTGAACACATTTTATTTTTAATTGTAATTATTAACGGAATTGTTAATGAGATGATATAATAGAATATGATCGAAATTAAACCGATAGTTTAAAAATTAGGGTAAATTATACATTTAGTACCTAAACTATCAATTTTGGTCTGTTTCAGCATATAAATTTTTATTTTTTTCAAAATCATTCATAACGTTTAGTTTTTGTTTTATTTTAGTACCCCACCATTAAAAACTTAATGTGTTTAATACCTAAACTATTGATATTGGTTTGTTTTATTACCTAAACTTTTATTTTTTTCCAAAATTTAACGTTAAATCTTTAACGTGTACTAAAATGAAACAGAAAAGTAAATATTAGATATGATTTTAGTACCCCCACCATAATCGATTTCATTAAACATCAGGAATTTAGTAAACTAAAAACCTGAAATAAAAATACAACGTCTAACACAATTCTATGTACAACGTTAATTATCACAATTCATTTCTTCACTTCTCGTCCTAATCTCAACCGTTAAAGTTAGTTACTTAAATTTATTATCAGTCATAAATGTCTATAATAGAAAGATAAGGTCTGATGCTTATTATAATCTTATATTTTGTCAAAAAAATATATTATATAAGTGAGTATTAGCTCTCATGTGTGCGTATATATCCTAAAAGAAAATGGAAAAGATGATTTTTTACACCTAACAACTTTATTTTTTTCAAATCTTATTGGATTGGTTTTTTTTTATGTTGACCTCCCGATTTTAAGGCTTTGCCTTGATTAATTTGGATTCATTCACGTCACATATCTGACTTTGATATGTGAATCTTCCAACAAAGATTTTTTACATGCACTGTAACTCGAACTTAAGATATTGTTTAAACGATATCAAATTATTTAATACTTGAACATATTAGTTAAACTTTATTGGATTTTGGAACCAAAGGAATTTAGCATATGGATATCCTAATACCGAAATACGATAGACGTGCTCACATGCAATCCTAGGAACAACTTTTTTTTTTTGCTAAATTAAATCAATTGAAACAAATTAAGAACCATCTTTTAATGTAAGCCACAACCATCAAGATTCGACAGTTGCATGTTAATCTTCAATTCAAAGTTCACAGAATTGCACCGGTTTGCTTGTAAGTAGGGCAACGGGAGGTGGTAGAGAGAGAGAGAGAGAGAGAGAGAGAGAGAGAGAGAGAGAGAGAGAGCAGCTGCGACCATGTGATTACAATTCATGATTGATTGTTTGGAAAGAAAGGAAAAAAAGAAGAAGTAAAATCCACAATAGAATAATCCAGTCATGATTGTTTCATTAATGGTAACTTTGCCTTCTTCAAAACAGGAACTCACATGATGAGAGTGGGACCAAACCTCATGGAAGTGAAAGTACAAAGAAGAGAAACTATGGGTTTGTTTATAGGTTTCTCTTAATACACTGCAAGGAACCTTATCAGCTTAATTTGTTTTGTACTTGAGGGAGATTTGATACCACAACAATGCAGTACAATACAAATAGTAAGAAATATAAACATCAAATGACATAAATGAAGGGCCTAGGAGCTACAATTTGCTCAAATAAACTCTCACTGTCCTTTTCCTGACCCTGCTAGCTTTAGGTACCCATAATAATGGAGAGCCTAGTCATTAAAGTCTTTCAATGAATCTGTAGAGCTTTTGCAGCTTTAGGTACTATGAATTTTTTGGCCAAGAGGCGACCATTTAAGAGCATTCAATTCTCCTTAAGAGACAGAGATGAAGGTTATTGCCTTGAAATAAACCCTAGCTAGATCATGTAGATAAACACTCGGACTGGCTCTGTGAGCATTCAGCCTATATTATAATTAGCTGATCCAACATTTTCATGCACGAAAAACCTATATCTCATCATTCATGCATAACAATCTTACGAACTTTAGCCTTAATATAAGCACTGGGAACAAACGGATAGAAGAGAAAAGCTTAATTAAATGCCAGTGCCAACGATCCAGTTGGATTAAAAATTACATTATTTTATTAGCAAAACTTACTGAAAAAGTGAAAACCATACTGCCAACAAATGCATTCATCATCCATGACACTGAAAAGAAAACGCAAATTATAAACAGGTTTCGCTAACATAAACCCTTTATTTGAATTGTTTTTCCAAGTGTTTTCAACACATGACATCCTTGAGAAGCTTGTACCTGCGTGTCGTAGGCCTTGGAGAAGGGGTTCCACTGCTCTTTCCTTTGTAATCGCCACTCGCTTGCTTGATCTTGTCACCGGAATACTCGGGTCGGTTCATGATTCCGGCTTCGTTACCGGCTGACGATTTCTTTGAAGAGCTTCCTTGCTTTGGGCTTCTCTCTTCGCTCTGGCACCAGTCACACAGTTCAACCGGTTCCGCCAACTCGCTGTAGTAGTTACTGCAATACCTGGCAGAATCAAGAAATCGTTCAAGTTTCAACCCATGAAAACATTCATATATGCTAACAAAACCATTATGTTTGGTGGTAGTGGTTGTTATTGGGTGGTGCTAGGTGGAGATGGGTGTTATCTACCTGTGATGATGACGATGATGATAAGATTAATAAAGGGTAACTACCTATCATTCCCCATCATCATCATCATCATGCGATATATCCATATGTGTTTATACATACATATATGTTGAGATGGTGAAAAAGAGAAAGACCCATACGAGTGTTGAAATCGGTGCAGGCATCTGATGCAGCCGAAGAGTTTGTCAGGGAAACCGACGTCGCCGCACATGCAGCAAACAGTTTGAAGATCCACCATTATTGACGGCTTTGAATTCTGCTGAAAACAACGGAGAATGGAAGAAGATTTTGGAACAAGAAAGAAACAGAGATAACTAGGAGAGAAGCATAACCATATATATTAAGAGTGATTGGATTCAATTTCAGAGTCGGTATAAAAACACATTTTTCTTCTTTTATATAGAGACACTAAATTATTCTTTCAGAGGTAGACCACAAGTTGCTTGCAGTCGTTTTCAGTTACAGAGAGAGATTAACCTTCATTGTCGTTTTACGATTTTTTTTAACGTGAAATTTGTGTTTAACGTTTTATCTATTAATTTTTAAGGTGTTCATTTATGTTTTATTCGTTTTTAGTCATAGATTTTAAAATTTATAAGATAGGGTCGTTTTTCTTTTTGTTTAATTAAGATTAGGTCATCTCGAGATAACTGTCTTTAACAACAATTAAATATTTTGATATAACCACACATTTGGTCCATGTTATTTACATATTCTCTCAATTTAATCATATTTTTAATAAATTAAAATAAATTAAAATATTTTGATATAATCACATATTTTGTCCATATTATTAATTTATTATATTTATTTCTACCAATCAAAGAGTGATATGTGTCACCCTCTAGTTGATAGAAAACAAAGGAAAACAAATTTGAGCAAAAAAGATTCAATCACTGATCACTTAAGAAACTAAACATGTATCCAACCATTAAGTAAAGACAATTGCTTAGTTTAAAGTGGACAACATAGTATATATATATATTTTGTATCTTAGTATATAAATACTTAAATTCATAATATTTTATATATATTAAAATCAAAATTTATCCGTAGCACACAACATATGATATCCAAAATCTACCACACTCAAATGATCGCGTTCATTATTTCATATATCGCACCCTAATTGTGACATATCTACTACATTCCTTAATTTCTTGGTGGAAAAAAAAATACGTGAACAATCTTTTGGGGTTCAATTTTTTTATCTTCTCGGTTTTAAAGTTTCATCGTGATTTAATTCAAATTGATTCATGTCGCATATCTAATTTTGGTGGGTGAGTTTTTCAGTGAAAATTTTCTACATATACAAAAACTCAAATTCGAGACTTTACTTAAATAATATCAAATTATTTATCACTTGAACTAAATATGTCACAATTATTTATTCCTAACATCCTTAAAAAATAATTTATTCTAATTGCTTAAAAACAAATAAAATCACGATTTTAGTAAAAATATTAATAATGAGTTATATAAAAAAAATATTTTTTATTTTTATTTTTTATTTTTTATTATAGTTTAAATTGATATAATTGTATACAATAATAATTTTTTTTGAATTTATTATAGTTTAAATTGATAAGGTTCATATATAATTATAAATATAATTTAAATGTTATATTTCTAATTTATTACATAATGTATATAATGTATATTTTATCTTTTTAAACTCACTTTTTAACATCAATCCCAAACAATTAAATTTTAAAATATACTTTTATATAAAACTTTTAAAAATTAATTTTTAAAAATTATACTAAAAAAATGGTTGTCCCTTTTTCCTATATGTAATGGGGTAAGGGGTAGGTAAAATAGTAGGCTGCTCCCAACACCAGGTTGAGAGCAGCTTCCGTAGAAGACCTCCGAATTATGAAATGTCCTCCGTGGGACTCGATCCCACAACATCAAGGTTAAGAACCTTGTGCTCTACCAACTGTGCTGGATATTCGTTTTCTCAAAAATTATACTAAACTCACCCTAAATTTACCTGTCTAAATTCCACTAAAATCAAGAAAACCTGAGCCCAAATCAAATTGGGCCCAAACCCATTTCTTACTCAAGACCCATGTCAGCAACCCACCCTCCCCTCAATTCTGGGGTGGATCCAAAAAATCTAAATTTGTAGACACCAATAAAATAATTTCATATGGATTAAAAAATATACAAATAATATCATATTTATTTCGTATCAAAGCTTCGTCATAATTCAAATTCAATTCAATTTTAATTGATTTATTTAAAACTAAACAATTAAAATTTGTTACTATAAATTGTTTTTCAAAGGGTAAAGTACAAAAAGGTCCTAAGGAATGCTTTATTAAGTCATTTGAATATTAAAAGTTACAAAATAATCTTTTAACTATAGAGTGTTGTTTTGTTGAGTTCTTTGACTATTAGAAGTTACAAAATGATCATCCGACTGTCCATTATGTTCCAAACTCATTATTTTCATTAAAAATGTGACGTTTTTATGAGTTGAACGTTAACTTGCTAACTGTGATATAATAAAATCTTAGCACATAATCTCAAACGACTATCATATCTTAGTCATCATATTAACATCCAACTTAGACAACTATCAATTTTTAATGGAAAATGATGAATTTGAAACATAATGAATAGTCAGATGATCGTTTTGTAACTTTTAATAATCAAATGACTTAGCAAAGCAACATTTTATAATCAGATTACAATTTTGTACCTTTTAGTAATCTAGTACCATATAGTCATGAGACTATATGTGTACTTTACCTTTTTTTAAATGTTATCCCTTTTCGTCGTTATTTTTAAAAAAGATTGCTCACACATAGACATTCCCTTCCTCTATTTTCTTTTTTGGTCATCTCCATTGGAATTTATAACAAAAATTATTGTGTTAGTGGATCATTACGAATAAACATAATAAAAATATATTATCAATAAAAAATATTTAAAATATACGATAATTTAGAGATTTCAGAGACCGTTGTTTTTTAAGCAAACTCTAATCTTCTTAATTTGATTCTCAGTGGAAAGGCCTTTAGGTATGTTTACAACTCTATTAAATCACATACTTTATTTATTTCTTCGTCGTACCATAACATGGGAGTATATTATTTGATGCTGTATGTTTTTGTTTATCAAAGATATTATTTTATGCTACTATTATTTACTACAATATTTTTTTATGGTTATAGCCACATGGCTATGCACGTGCCGTTGCTTTGGGATCACCAAAGTTTATTTCACGTGATTCCGCCATAGTTCTTGCACCAATGGCAAAACATCTTACCACTCAAACTCATCATTTTCTCTGATCCCTTTTGCTCATCTGTCTACCCTCTATGCTCTTAATCTTTTATTCTATCATGGGAAAAACCAATTTCTATTCCTAAGGGCATCTCCAATGCTTCTCCACATTTGGAGAATATCTCCACTGTGGAGGAAAAACCCCCTCCAGCCCATCGCCACATCTCTCGCTACAGTAGCGAAACGTTACCGTCCGCGTCACATCTGGCACTGTACTATAGCATGCGCTACAAAATTTTTTTTAATTCAAATAAATTAAATTACAAGATAAAAAAATACATTAAAATTATATATATATATATATATATATATATATATATATATAAATACTAATTGTTTTGTAATTTTTCTGATTTTTTGTATTTTTTCTGATTTTTTTATATTTTTTTCTGATTTTTTTTAAATTCAAGTAGATTAATTTGCAAGATAGATAAAAAATACATTGAAATTAGATAAATAAACATACTAATATTATTATGAAATGTAATTTTTCGCATTGCTATTTATGAATGTTTTATTTTATGTTTTTTATCTTGATATTTATTAGAAATATATATGTTTTATTTTATATTTTTAAAATCAATATTATAATAGTTAAATATTATGAATAAAGTAGATTTAGTAGTAATGTAGAGATAGCGCTGGAGATGAATTACTATTTTATCTCTACAGTAGAGATATAGATGCGTTAGAGTAGAGATGAGCATTGGAGATGGCCTAAGAGCATCTCCAATGCTTCTCTACTTTGGAGATTCTCTAAAGTAAAGTCTCCAACCCTGCGCCAGAAAAAACACTATTGTGGAGAAATGCTACAGTGCCGCGTCACATCTAGTGTAGCATTGTAGCTTGCGCTACATTTTGCTTTTTTTTAAATTAAAATATATTAAATTATAAGATAGATAAAAATATATTTAAATTAGATAAATAATCATACTAATTTTTTTTTAATTTTTCGATTTTTTTTGCATTTTTTCTGATTTTTTTATATTTGTAAAATTAATATTATAATAGTTAAATATTGTGAATAAAGTAGAGTTAGTGGTAATGTAGAGATAGTGCTGGAGATGAATTACTATTTCATCTTTAGAGTAGAGATAAAAATACGCTAGAGTAGAGATGAGGATTGGAGATGGCCTAAGTCACTCCTCTAAACTTGACATTATTTTAATTTAATCAAATTTTATCTTAATTTATATTGATTTTTAAATTTGGTGATGTGCTATTTTAGCATTACAGTTCGATTTTAGTCTCTCAACTGTTAACTCCCGTTTGATTTTAGTCTCTTAGTCATATTAGGGATTTAAACAAAAAGGGTTAACAAAAATTAATGGCTGAAATACTAAAATAGAATGGACCGATAATATTAAAGATCATTTCCTTTTAATTTTTAAATTGATGACCAAAGCCGGTCATTCTTTAAACATAGGGATTATCCGCATAGTTTACCCAATTAATTAACCTAGTTTTTTCTTCTTAAGTTTTAGTCCGATAATTGCCGTTCCCAAGAAACAAATAGTAAGATGAAGAAAATGGCAGTTGTCGGTGATAGTATTTAGGTTAAAAAAACTCTTCTTCTACCAACTGTGTTTAAAAATGGTGGGTGTGGGGCATAATAAAATCACAGTCAACGTGAACAGATCCCGTTTCTCTCTTCTCTAATATTTTCCTTTTCCTTTTTTATTTAGCACGAACCGAATGAGTAATTATCGATATTATTTAAGCTCTCGAGTTTAAACACCATAAATATTAGATGTATGAACGTTCAATATCAAATTATTAAGTATGTTAATTTTATAACTACTTTATTATAATTACCCATATTAATAAAATAAAATAGAGAAAATAACCTCAGTGACCGAAAATGCATTGTAATATACGATTTTGACTAATTTTTTTGGATTTGTCAAAATGACCAAGTAAATCGCAATGCGATCGATAGTTCGCAACGCGATCTCCGGTATCGTAAATAAGTTTCCAGATTCGAATTCGCGCGGACGTGTCGAAGACACGTATTACCACGACCACGACCACGACCCAAGACAGGACGGCGGTGGCGGCGGCGCGCGAGAGTCTCCCTTGTTCTCTATCACTCAACAAGGAAGTGGGAAAGCCAAGCCTTAAATACCATTCCCAATAGTGTTTCCAATACTATGTGGAATTAAGCATTACCAACACTTGTTTCTAAAACCATTACCTTCATTGTTGTAAGAGTTTAATTTTGAAACTAAAAAAATATTTATTCGAATAAATAACTTACCCTTTGAGGACTTTGATGGAAGAAAAATATTAACCAAACAAATGCAAAGGAGACAATGATGGAAGTTTTCAACTGAGGATGCTACGAAAACTAGCTGATAATGACACAAAGGAAACATATCGAGTTGTTTGGTCATCATCTACTCTTTGCAAGTAAGTCATTTGAACACTATAAGAACCAAAATCAGAGTTAGTTTTAGCAATTACTTCATTTATGATCAAAGTCCTCAAAGGGTAAGTTATTTATTCGAATAAATATTTTTTTAGTTTCAAAATTAAACTCTTACAGACAATGAAGGTAATGATATTGGAAACAAGTGTTGGTAATGCTCAATCCCACATAGTATTGAAAACACTATTAGGAATTGTATTTAAGGCTTGGCTTTTCCACTTCCTTGTTGAGTGATAGAGAACAAGAAGGACTCTCGCGCGCTGCCGCCGCCGCTGTCCCGTCCTGTCTCGGGTCGGGTCGGGTCGGGTCGTGGTCGTGGTCGAATCGCAACGTGAACTTCGCCTGTCGCAACGAATTGGAATGAATCGCAACGCGAACTTCGCCTATCGCAACGATTTGGAATGAATCGCAACGCGAACTTCGCATATCGCAACGAATTTGGAATAAATCGCAATGCGAACTTCGACTATCGCGTTGCGAATCTGGAAACTGATTTGCGATACCGGAGATCGCTTTGCGAATTATCGATCGCATTGCGATTTACTTGGTCATTTTGGCAAATCCAAAAAAAGTAGGTCAAAATCGTATATTACAAGACATTTTCGGTCACTGAGGTTATTTTTTTTTCTTTTTCTTTTTACATTAGGTAATAAAAGAAAAGTGGTCCCTTTCAGCTTCATTGCAGCACCATGCCTGCCTGCCGGCCTCCATACATATATATCTCTTGAACATGAAGTAAGCCATTTACTCATCTTAGTTTTCATGTAAATCTGGAAACTGTTAATAATATATATATATATATATATAGTTATGTACACACACCAAGTTGCATCAACTCTTTTTTCTTTCTCTCCCATCGCTTTGTCTACATTTAAAAGCTTAAAAAATTCAGAGTTGTGGCAGAATGACAGAACAACTCTGACTACTAACGTTGAAAGGACCATGCATGTGTTTGAGTAAATGTTAGTGATACAATGTTTGTTCTTATAACCTAAATGAAAAGGTAAAAGCCGGGATAACTAAGATAACTAGGTTTAGGTCTACTATATTTGCCGTTAATTGTTGTTAATAGTTTTTTATCTAATGAATTCACCTATTGATTTAATTGTACACATTATGTATATGATTTAATTATTTAACTTATGCACGAACTAAAATGTTTCGGCGTTTAAAAGAATAATTATTTTTTCTAGTGATTCCGAGTTTGAGCACCAACGACGGCAAAGTAATTTAGTGTAAATTGTCAAATAATTGAATCTTTAGAACAAATAGTATCGCTCGTAATCGTTCTATGTTAATAAAAATTTACACACAACTATAATCTTTTAATTTGATTGTTTTCATTAGACTCATCACCACTCAATCTATTATACAATGACCAAGTCTATTCATCTTGTCGACCTATAAAAATAATCATTAACACCTTAAGCCTAACACTAACCTTAAGGATTCGTATATAAATTATATGTAAAATATAGCTAGGGTCTATCTCTCTTCCCAAAAAAAAAACGTCTGATTCTAATACTATTGTTCATCATTTTCTCTTGTTTATTTATCTTCCCTTTCACATTTAGAAAACCAAACCATTGATCACGATTCTTAACTCAAATCAAAAGAAACGAATAGCTTAAAACTACGACAACTCATTTTCTTCCATCAACAACAACCTTCTTGTATTAGGTAATCAGAGAGAAAATCTAAGACATAATATAATATAACATTTAGAAAGCAAAGGCGAATGTAAGTTTAATTTATGCCCAGAAGTGCCCAGCGCATGGCCAGTAGTAACAGCAAGTGGGGATGCCACCCATTTCTCCATCAAGCCAACCATCCATGTATTTGTTCTTATTTCCTACTAGTATTAGTTAATTAATTTACTTTTACCACAGTATATATTATATTATAAAACTATGCACAGACACATGCATGCATGAAGGGCTGCATTTACAATTAATCTTTTTTTCTCTATTTTTATAAGTAGATTACGGATCCCGTTAAAAAGAAAACAAATACTCTTCTTGCACGTTCCTCTGCCCCCTCTTCCCATCCATATAATAATCACTCACCTTCTCTGGGTATTTCTTTTAAGGGAAAAAGGATTCAGGTATCAGTGTATAGTGTGAGCGAGAGAAGAAAAGATGGATATGTACGGGCTTTCAACTTCGGAACAAATTGATATTGATGATCTTTTGGATTTGTCCAACGATGAGCTTTTCCCCTCCGCTTCCGATTCCACCAACATTGACCAATTCCCTCCTTCTGAAATCACTTCCGCCTCCTCCTCCTTCGCGTCCGCCGTCGCTCCCACTTTCTCCATGGACTTTACCCACGAGCTTTGCCTTCCCGTATGAACTTTGCTCCCGGTTAATTCCATTTACGTTTTGTTTTAAGTTACAAGATTAAATTGTTGTGTTGTGTTTGTTTTGTTTGTTTACAGAGTGATGATGATGTGGCTGAGCTGGAGTGGTTGTCGCAGTTCGTAGAAGATTCCTTCACCGACTTCCCATCGTGCACGCTCCCCGGAATCTTTAACCCTAGAAATGATCATCATAATCACTCGTCGTTTTTAAGCAAAGCTCGAAGCAAGCGGTCGAGAGCGGTAACAACAACTACACTTAACGGAACAAACTGGAAGACGGACATGTCGGAATCGGCGACGGCGGCTACTTTAACGGGAAAGTTGTCAAAGACGAAAAGGGAAATCCAACAACGTCAAACATCCCCTGCGGCAGAGGGAGGGGTGAGACGATGCTCGCACTGCGCGTCGGAGAAGACACCACAGTGGCGGACGGGGCCACTAGGACCAAAGACATTGTGCAACGCGTGTGGGGTTCGTTATAAATCGGGTCGGCTTGTGCCTGAATACCGACCCGCGGCAAGTCCAACATTCGTGCTGAGCCAACACTCGAACTCCCACCGGAAGGTGATGGAGCTGCGGAGGCAGAAGGAGCAGCAGGTGTGTCGTCAGAACCACCGTCAACAACGTGACTTTGAGGTGTGCTGACGTACGAAAGTTATTGTAATCACGTTCAATGGGATAGCAGCGTTTCGAGGCCGTTTTGGGCTTTTTACTCCCCCCCCCTTTCTTTTTTGTAGGAATTTTTTTTTCGTAAAACAAGTAAAAGTCATTAAATATTTAGCTTGGGTTTCAGTTGAGCTACCAGTTGCTTTAACTCTCGTTGAAAATGAAAGGGTTACGACGAATAATAGTGACTTTCCACGTGACGCACCGCAACACATAGGCAGCTGAAACGGAACCCCCGCCACGGAAACGTGTAACTTCAGAACAAAGTGTCCATTTAAATAAAGAATATGATTGATAATTAAAATGGGAATAATCAGCTGTATCGGTTCAAGTGGTAAAATACATCTTAAATAAGGTTTTAAGTTTTTGTGTATGTGGAAAATTATTATTGGTAGATTTATCCCTCATAATCAAGTGTGCGACATGAGTTTATTCAGATTAATCGAGTCAAAACTTTTGAATCGAGAGGGTAATAAAAAATCGGAATCAGATATGATAAATATGTGATACAAAATAATTGTTGGATATGTGTGAATGATGAAGGTAAACCAATTTTAACGAACTAAAATCTCTTATGTTTCTTTGTCTGTCCCTTTAATTGTGTGTATTTGCTTGAAATTGTAATGTTGGTGCGTATGCTTGAAGTAAAAGACGAGTTCTATATCAATTAACATTAAGTTCTACGAAGGTGGATGAAATGTAGATATTATTGTATCAATATTGTTCATTTGTTAAAATCTGTGATATATAATACTCTTGTTACCTTATATCTTTTTAAAATAGTATGCAACACTCTTGTTACCTTATATTTTTTAAAATAGTATCCAACGATTACGAGGTAATATTTTATAAGTTTCATTTGATTGGTGGTAATTTGTGTTGAATATCAGATACTTCTGTCTTTGTTTATGGGAGATCTTCGTTTTGCGAGTTTAATCTGTTCAAAGACGATTTCTTAAGAAATGGGTTGTGGAATCGCTGATCAAATAATTTCCCTGGAGATATCACGGTTGGCCAACGAGAAAGATTGTGCAAAAGTTTTTGGGTTTTCACAAGCAAAAAGAGGCCTGCTTTAAGCTGCTAGCTTCGAGGTGTACTTTTATGTATGCTGATATTCGATCTGGTGTGCAGAAATTGGACTTATCTTTTCTATCTCTTTTCATAGCCTATCTGCGTGATTTTCTTACTATTCAATAAGGCTTTACAATTATTCTCAAAAACAAAGTTGTGCAGTTGGTTCTTGACCAGAATAGAAACAACTTTGCTGACAAACTACAATTAGAAATTATGAAGGTAAAGGAAGGGAAGGTAGTAAGATCCAATGCGAGCATATTGGAGAAATCAAATGAAAATCCATTTATGAATCAAAATGGGGGGGGGGGGGAAACACAACGTTTAACTTGGTTTGGTACTGTTAATACAGGCAGGCAGTGAAGGTCCCTCTACTCCTTGCGAACAAAATACAACTTGCCCATGACATGGAGAATGGCAACGAAAGCAATGAAACCAATGCTCATGACAAGCACCACATTTGGGGAGATCTTGAGTCCCGGAGCATCATCTGTGTAAAACTGAAGCATTGTGCCAGCAGCTCCTCCCGAGGCACCAGCACCGCTCGTCGTTCTCCTCCTCCGCATGTTTGCAGCGGCCGCTGCACTTCCTCTTGGCGGTGCTGTTCCAGTTGCCATTTCTGTAACAACCGACTTTGATTTTCAATACTGGATAAACATATAGAGAAATAGTGTCTCTGAATTCAGCATTTCCATTATACTTTCGAAAATAATTATTTATCACATACTATTATCGCTGGAATCAAAATTGAGTTTCAGACCGTCAGAGCAAAAATAGAACAAATTTTCAAGGAACACACGAAAGTTTCAAAAAAGACCAGATGATATAAATAAATAAATTTTTTTAGAGGTGACTAAGATACCCAATCCACAAAAGCTCCGTTACGAATTAATTACTAAAATTGAAATCAACATACACCGAGTTCATATCAAATTGTGCAGAAGATATACAATATATAATCAATTCAAAACAACCAAAATTTGATCTAAAATCTTTGTGCCCTAATTGAAACACCAAAAGAGATAAAATCATAGAATTCAACCAACCAAATTTTAACATTCGATCGAATTAAAACATATTTCAATACAAGAGGTATACGCATGTACTAAACCAATCCTATGGTAATCATATATTAACGATATCGGAAAACCCTAAACTTGAAGATCTTAAGTAACGAATCATAAAAACGATGTATAGAATGCAGTGGATCGATCTTAATCAAATCAAATCAGATGTGAGTAGGAGAAAAACCCATCGTCTGTGCGAAAAACAGCAACTCTAGTATAATGTCGAAGAAAGAGAGGGAGAGGATAAACTCGCCTGAGTCGACTCGGAATTCGGATGCGCAAGCTCTAGGACACGTCTGTAATATCTTTGCCTCGCACTTGTCCCGTCTCCTGTATTTTTTATAGGCGGAGTAGCTGTGTATTTCCACGCAGCACTTACAAATCAATTTCTGCCACGTGTCCTCATATCCGAACAGCTCCAATTGTTTCCAACGCGTTAAATCCAACCCATGTGGGCCAAGTTTACCCAAATTTAAAAACCAAAGAAAATTTACTTAGGTCTGTTTAGTTTACATCATATTTCATTCCTGCTGGTAATCTTTTTTTTCGGGTAAATATACCCATGTTTGGATGGAGTAAATTCCTAAGTGTAGGGAAAGAATGAATACCAACAGATGTATTTTTTTTCCTACTTTCCAGGGAATGTCATACCCTATCTCTCTTAAGTATTTACTTATTCCCGATCTCCGTTGTCTAAAGTACCATTCTCCCCGTTTGGTTATAGCCGAAAGAAAATTGTGATGAGGAGAATGTCGAGCGTAATTTGGAGGAAACACAATGTCTCTTCTTCTCATAACTTAAAAACGTGAATGGTAGAAGAAAAGAAAGAAGGAAATTTGGCTCATTACTTAATATAAAGAAAAGTAAGCTGAAAGGCTTAAATTTGGAATCCTCCGAACTGTCCAGCCGGTCTGAATTAGATTCCGAGATCAAGATTATGTAGAAAGCTGCTAAGAGGGAGGCAGTAGAGACGCTGGAATTGGGTAAAAAGCTGGGGATTCAGGTAATTGGAAATGAACTTGAGGTAATTAAGGATTTGACTCTACTAGAATTTAATAGTAAGCTCGATTAGAGGGGGAGGAGAGGTTGTGTAGGCTTTTTTTGGGTGGTAATTCTGGCTGTATGTTTTGATGTTTTGTTTGCTATTAAAGGTGTTTCAATGGGGGTAAAGGGCTCAAGGATAGTTTATCCCATGCTACACCAAATCAATTTGTAAATCTGATGTTCATTTTGGTGGAGTTGTATTTTGCTTCTAAGGTCATTTCCAATACACAGTACTTGAAACCAAATTGTTAAGGTTTGTACTAGTGTAAGCTTGATAAGACGATTGGCCTCGATTTCGATGGTTTTATTTTGATTGATCATCTTGCGAAGGAAGGTTCTTGGCTTTGAGTGTGAAAGTTTTCTGGTTTTTGATTTGCTACCAAGGTTATGGGTAACTTTGTGGGTAATTTTTCTGGGATTAGTTATGGTTTGGGAAGTTTTAAGGTTTGAACTTTGTTTTGATTTTTACTCACCTGCACATAATTCTTGAGTAAGCAATCTTACATTGTGATTGGAGTATTCTCTGAACTGTTAAGAACTTGTAGTTACTGCTTTTACATTTCCATAGGTATGTGGAAAATGGTTCATTTGCAAACATTATCAAGCCAAATAAATTTGGGTCGTTTCCAGAATCTTTGGTCGTCGTTTATATTGCTCAGGTTTGTTTTTATTTCTGCATTTATTGCTTCATTTTGCCGTAAAGTATCATTGAATATGCTGCTTGTTAATCAGGTTTTGGAAGGTTTGGTTTATCTACATGAACAAGGTGTTATCCATCGGATACTAAAGGTGATAATATTCTGACGACTAAAGAGGTAACCCAACAATTATTTTTATATCCTTAGTGAGTTTTATTTACTATTTCAGGGTCATTTTTTAGTGATTATATTGTGATAAATTTGAGCATGGTGACAGATATACCGTTTGGCCTTCTTAATATTGGGCTATCTAGACAAGTTGAATTTGAATTCATACGTTTCCTTTAACTTTGGCTACTTATGTGCTGAAAAATATGCTAAGATAAATTATATTTTATCTTCACAAATTTGTGTTCAGATTGGTTTTGATTGTTGTGTCGCTAGGTGTGGAGTGTGGACTTTCTTGGTTTCCCCCACAACTTACCCTTGACTTAATTTCTCTTTTCAGGGTCTGGTAAAACTTGCAAATTTTGGTGTTGCAGCGAAACTAAATGAGGCTGATGTTAACACACACTCAGTTGTTGGAACACCATATTGGATGGCCCAGAGGTATTGATAATTGGAATGTGGCTATTAATTGTCTATCCTGTTACTTTTCTCCATATTTTTGTGTTTGTTATTTTAGGTATATATTGGATGCTTTTCTTACAGGTTAAATTATATTTCAGGTGATTGAAATGTCAGGGGTTTGTGCGGCTTCTGATATTTGGAGTGTTGGTTGTACTGTATTTTTCTAGGAGAATCATTTTGTAATACCCCAACCCATACACGACCCGGATACGAGTCCGAGGTGTCACATTGACTTTTCAAAACATGTACTTGTATAAAATAGTGAGTAATTTAAAACTTTTATAACCTTAAAACTTATTCAAAACGTTTACAAAACTATGCAGAGCTTATACAATATATATATTCTTTTGATTACATGCCAACTAGAACTTTATTTATTAAAATACTTATTATTCATCTCTTTTCTGATCTGACACTTGGTAAGGAGAACGGACCTGTCTTGCTCCACATTGCTCGTTACTCTTCTCGAAACCTACATGTGAAACAATCACACGCTAAGTCGTTGACTTAGTGAGGCATATAAACATGTAATACAACTATAATTCATATCAAATGCATGAGCAATTAGTATTACAATCATATCATATAAAAGCACATATATATAATTTCTGCAACATGTACACACATGCAAATATATCATTATCAACACGTTTAACATTTCTCATTCACTATCATTAATCTTTATAATTTAACACTCTTATATAAACATTTGTCTTTACCATATCATGCATTAACCAAGCAATACACCATTATGTAAATCATGTAATCTATTCCATATAACAAGTCACATATACATATCACATTTAGTATACTTGTTTACTCTCTTTATTAACCCATGTACACTATTGAGAACTTAAGGTATGTGAGTACATTGAGGTTGTGCACACATATGCTGTCACCACAGCTCGATCAATGTCCCGCAGGACCTATCCAGAGGTCATAAAGATCCTCGGTAACTATCCAGAGGTCATAAAGATCCTCGGCAACTGTCCATAGGTTCCGAAGAACCTAGGTGAACTGTCCATATGTTCCTTAGAACATAGGTATACTGTCCATATGTCTCGAAAGACATAGGTAATTCTGTCCATATGTTCCGTAGAACATAGGTACCCTCGACTCTTGGCATGCCAACTATACCCCTAGCTCTCATGACACATAACATGGGTATTATCTTTTATATCCTTTTTCATATTCATGTAACCATATCATATATTCATATAAGCTCATGGTTTCCTTTACATATACATGTAATCAAGTAGTTCATATCCATTGTAACACCCCCAACCCGTATCCGACCCGGATACGAGTCCGAAGTGTCACATTGACTTTTCTAACATTTATTCGTATAAAATAGTGAGTAATTTAAAAACTTTGATACATTTAACTTATTCAAAACGTTTACAAAATATATCAGAGTTCATACAATTTATATCTTTAGACTACATGCCAACTACACTCTATAACCAGTACATATATTTTATGATCTGATATTTGGTAAGGAGAACTGACCTGTCTTGCTCCGCATTACTCTTTACTCTTCTCGAAACCTACGTGTGAAACAATCACACGCTAAGTCGAAGACTTAGTGAGGCATAAAGAAAACACATCTAATGGAATTCATACCCACTAATCATGCATGACTGTTTTATGCTATCAAATTATACAACTCATTTACATATACATCAACATATATTTGTGCATATTATGTAACAGATACCATTACCCCTATCACAGATATATCATATCATGCACACATCATATCACAAATCATATACATATATCACATACATTGTTCTCATATCACCAATATCCATACCTGTAAGCATATTACTTTAACATTCATAAATTTGTATTAATGAGTTTATTGGCCCATGATATCATATTGAGAACCTAAGGTATCTGAGTATTGTGAGGTTTGTGCACTATGCTGTCACCACAGCTCGTATAAATGCACCGAAGTGCCGCGTAGAATTGCACCGTAGTGCCATATAATGATGTCCATAAGGACCACATAGAATTCCTTAAGAATCATATACATATGATAGGGATCATATATGTGTCTCACCAGACTTCACACATGTTCCAAAGAATATATATATCCCGAAGGACCGCGTAGAATATTATCCCGAAGGACCGCGTAGACCCTCTACTCTTGGCATGCCAACTATACCCCTAGCTCTCAAGACACATAACATGGGCATTTTCTTTTATACTTATCATTTCACATAACACATAGTTCAATTACTCATAGAACATTTCATATGAGTCACATTTACATGTCACATAGCTTATATACTTTCTCACGTAGTTACATAGATCCATATCATATAACATATATCACAAAGTGCACATAATCACACATATCATATCATATAGCTTAGATCATTTCTCAGATATTCATATAAACATACATATCATATCTTGTTCACATATGATCATATATGCTTCATATAACACATAGAACACTTTCTCCTAGCTTATATCAATTTTCAGAGTTCTTTCATATTACCTGATGACATATATCATATAGATATATAATAACGGATATCATATTATCTACCTTATGCTCTATTTCTTTGTATTCCCATAGATTATAAATTATGCTGTATTTCTAAACATATATCATTTAATAGTATTTTTATTTAGGTACTAATTTAATCTCTTTACTTAATTCAATTTCATATATTCATTATAATCTTTTCATATAGCTCCATTATACTAATTCTCATAATAAATCATACCACTAAGTACTTGTCCAACTCATGTTTCCATTATGCATATACTGTTACCCATGTTTACCTAGTTCATATCACTTCTTATAAACTCACTTTCATCATATTTTCCTATTATTACGTATTTTATCTCATAACCATGTATCCACATAGTCTTATATTTCATTATCATATTACATATATTTGTTCTCCTATGACCCTTAATAAACATCTATTTCTATTTCCCTACATCTCTCGACTTATCTTCTATATTCCTATAATTTCATAACTTAT